TTCCACTTCTTCTCTCTTTCATATTCTCCCTGCTGCATTCTAGCTTTCAGTGCCCCTTCAATGCTTCCTTCTTGTCGCATCAACCTCCTCTGCTCCTGTGCTTGTAAAGCACTCACTACTTCTATCACTTTRAGCTTAGTGAGGTCTTTAGAATTTTCTAAGGAAGCAATGGTTGYTYCATATCTCTCAGGTACTGAAACCARAATCTTCTGAACCAATCTATTGTCAGATAGATCAGTTCCTAATGCTCTTGCCTTGTTAGCAATCCCGATCAACTTGTCTGAGTACTCTTTGATGGACTCAGAATCCTTCATCTGCATTCTYTYGAATTCCCTYACCAAGTTCAACACCTTCATGCCTTTAATCCTCTCATCACCTTCATACTCACTTTTGAGGAACTCCCAGATCTCCTTTGCTGACTTCAATGCCATAATTCTGTTGAATATGGCGGGAGACACAGCTGCATATAGGCAAGCTCGAGCCTTTGCCTTCCTGGTGACCCTCTCCTTGTGAGTCTTGATCTGATGCATTGTTGGATTATCAGGAAGTGGAGCAATTTCATAATCTTGCTCAATTGCTTCCCAATAATCACAACCCTCCATGTAGGCTTGTATTTTGATTGCCCATGCTTGATAGTTTTCACCATCAAACACAGGTGGAGCCAGTGAAGAAAGATTGTTTGATCCTAACTTCATTGGACAAAACTCTCACAGGTGTATCACTTAGTTTCTCTCGAAAAAATCTCACTAGTCCTTACTCACAGATCCCTTAAGAATTTAAGGCTCTGATACCACTGTTGATGTACTTATTGAGAGAGAAATAAGAAAGTGGGGGAAGTAATAATTTCATTCATTAGTGCTCCATATAAATACATACTATGATGCTAAAAATAAACGTAACTATCTCCACATAATTAGCAACTCAACTAATCCATAAGAATAACAACTTAGACTTGACTACAACCAAAAGAGGAATATCAACAACTTCCTAAAAACTAGGTCTTTGACCAAACGAATTCAAAACTAACATTCAAACTTNGGAATATCAACAACTTCCTAAAAACTAGGTCTTTGACCAAACGAATTCAAAACTAACATTCAAACTTTGTATTTGTAGCTTTGAGTTAACTAACAAAGCCCCATTTCGCTCTAACCCACGTGCAATCTCCTCCACCTGACTCCTACCAAAGCTTCCCATGCTCACAAAACACAACACCACCACTGATGACAGAGGCTGATTGTCTAGCCACTTTAATATATCCGCACAATCAAATGCAAAATTGATTCATGAGGAGCCACTCCACATTGACTTCATTACATGCGATTCCATCTCCACAAATGTATTGATAAGAATTCCTTTGATTTCCGATCTATACCGTCCAGCATTATCATGAAACCAAATGGCAGTTTCATAATCCAAAAAAGAACGGGGTATCACCTTCCTGGGAATCGGATTGACAAAACTTGGCATCATCCGAGTTCTGTAACCGTTCCACTTCCACTGCCTTGCTGCTGTTATTCTGATCATAAAGCTCTTGAAGATCAAAAGTAATGGCTAGAGAGGGAGCACTGGATGTGTAGAACACATAACTGGGAACCTCAAATTCTTCAGCCACATCAACCATGGTACATGTCTAGCACAAATCCAACAAGATTTTGAGGGCCGGTGAGTTTGCTCACGGCCTCTCTAACGTGGGGTTTGTAGCTTTTGATGATGCGGAGTGTGTTCAACAAAAAATTGTTTGTAGTTTCCTTGGGAAAGGGCGTTTCAGGGAGGACGATGAAGCGGATAGATTTATTGGCAAAAGCCACAGGGAGTGATTGGATATGTTGGAGTAATTTGGTGTCAAAGGGCAGTTTTTGGATGAGCAGTGTGATGGAGAGACGATGATCTCGAGTGACGAGAATATTAGCCATTTCAATGGTGGATGGGAGGTCGCCCCGCCCCGGGCCGGGTATGAAAACCAGCTCAAACTTGTTCATTTCAAACAGCAGAGGATTGGGAGATGTGGAAGTGTGAAATGTGAAGAAACAGGGGATGTAGTTTTATTTGCTTTGAGGAAGAAGAAGAAGAAGAAGAAGAAAAGGTGACGTCATGCGCTGTGGGTAGAATGGACAAGGTAGGTTGGGTAGAAACTTAAATGTATATTTAATTAGGGTAAAAAGTTTCAACCAAAACAAATTTTTTTAATTTTGCATAAACAAATAATTAGTCATTGCCATAAAGTACATAATAGATAGAGGTCACAATTCACATATTTCTCCCAAAGCACAAGAAAACCAATGATGATGATGGAGGTTGTTTTTACCATCATGGGTTAGCTTGGATCAAGGTAAATCAAAATAATTTAGAGAAAATGGGTTCAAATCTCATGATGACACCGACCTAGGAATTAATTTCCTATGTATTTCCTTGATAACTAAATGTAATAGAGTAAAAAAATGATGGAGCTCGATCATACTACATTTAGTTGCAAAGAAAGGTGACTCATGCCTTTGTCGTCGATAAGAAGAAAGATCGGTAAAAATGAATGGCTCGAATGAATCTTACGATATGGATATGATATGGTTAAGAAGACACATGGGAATTATCAATAATGCACATCTTTTCTTCTGAATACAATGAAACAAGAGTAGACGCCTTTAAGGTACTTATTTGTTCCATTTCCTCTTTGGAGATTCAACGAGGTGGAATCTTGAAGTTTTATATATATTTATTCAGAAGTTTGAAAAATCGTGACAAACTATGAAATAACTTCATAAGATTATCAATAATAGAGATTTGTGCAAAAACTGACTCTTTTTATCTTTGTTTTGGGTTAGATCAGATAAAATTCATTTCTATATTTTAAAATAATTTCACAGTTGTACACGTAAACTCAAAAATGATAATGAAGATCTTACTCATGCAAACAGTTGAAGCACCTGAGGAGACCAATTTCACTGAAAGGACAGTAATATTAACTTGCAGGAAGAACGAAACATCAAACGACATCTGTACCAAACATGTTCCTCAACGTCTTGGTCCTGTCAATGAAAAGAACACAGTGAAAAACCAAGGAGCTTGGTCCTCAAAAGTCCCTTGTTATGGAATTTTAACTTACGAATCATAATCACATCCAGTGCAACTTCCCATGAGCTATTGCTGGAGCTTTCCTTGGACCCTCTCGACGCCAGCAAGGGAAAGCTAGTCCTTGTTTGTGTCCGCTAGCCATCAGGGATCGAGGGGCAGAGGATCATGGTTAAATGCAACATTCATCCAAACCACACATCTCTGCATAGCTTTTCAATAGACATTGAGATGTTTTGATTAATAAAATGATGATATAGCTTCAAAACGGCATACTAGAAATCAGGACAGATCTTAGCCAGCAAAGTAGAGGCTGAAAGACATGATAACTTTATGGAAGAGGGCCATCCGACATCGAGCACTACAGTTCACTTTAACCGACTAGTGGCAGCTGCTTCAAAAGCGTTATCCTGTTACAACGAATCCAATCGAATATAGCAGCATATTGCAAATTAAGCTTTGGATTGCACATAATGGAACTAGCAATGGCAATACAACAATGAAAATTTGAAGCCAAGTAGTGCTTGCCTCTCACAAACCTTTTTCATCATAGCCGTGTTTGTGAGGCTAAAGCATCGAGAGCTTGGTTGCTGCTTCTTCTTCTTCTCATGAGTATGGCAAGTGCATCATTCATCAGGTTCCAAAGGAAGTGGAGTCTGGTCTATAACCAGCATGTTTCATCTCCATCAGTAATTCCTCCAACATGCCATATATTCGGTCGGATTGTGGATGCTTCCTATCCTTGGATACAAAATGGTTCATATAACCAGCAATCTCAATCCAACTGCTTCCAGTTTCCTTCTTCAAACCTTTTTCCCTCATCTGTTTTCTAACGATGTCGACATTTTCCCAGTTTCTTTCCTCTGCGTATATATTTGAAAGCAAAACATGGTAACCCGTTTTTCCATTTCTTTTCTCCATTTCTAGCAACTTCTCAGCAACAACCTTTCCCAATTCGAATTGTTTATGAATCCTGCATGCAGCCAGAAGTGACCCCCAAATTTCCATCGAATTACCTTGTTCCCCTAAACCTGTGACAAACTCATAGGTTTCGTCCACTCTCCCGACCCTCCCCAACATATCAGCTACACAACATAAGTGTTCAGTGGACGGCTGAATGTTATATTCAGTTCTCATTGACTTGAAGATTTGAAGACCTTCGTCGACCAAACCAGAATAACTACAGGCAGATAAAACTGCTACAAAGGTAACTGCATCAGGCCTAATGCCAGATTTTTGCATTCTGTGAAACATCGAGAGAGCACTCTCACCCATCCCATGTTGACCATACCCCAATATCATGGTGGAATAAGTCACTACACTTTTCTCATTGGCTTTACTAAAAACATACTCAGCATGGGTGATTGACCCAGATTTGGAGTACATGTCAACAAGAGCAGTTGCAACAAAAACATTTTGGTCTAAGTCGTTACGGATAGAGAATCCATGGAGTTGTTTGCCCCAATCTATGTACCCTGATGGATTACAAGCAGGAAGAATTGAAGCTAAGGTCACAACATTAGGCATTACCTTTTGGTCAAGCATCTGTCTAAGGACGAGGAAAGCCTGATCGACTAGTCCATTTTGTGTGTAGCCGGACATCATAGCATTCCAAGTGGCCTGGTCTCTTTCGTGATTATAGCTTTTATCAAATATATTTTGAGCAGCCTCAATAAAACCAGATTTGGCATACATGTCTATAAGATAGCTATTCATTCCCTCAAATTGAATCCCATTCCTAAGTAGATAGGCATGAGTTTGCCTTCCAATATCGGGATTTCTAAGATCCGAAGCTGCTGAAAGCAGAGCAGTAACAGTCACAGAATCAACCATCATGCCCTGCTTCTGCATCTCATAAAAAAGCATTAATGCTTCATCATCCAGTCCATTTTGTACAAAGGCAGAGATCATTGTATTCCATGAAACAACATCCTTCTCAGGCATGTTATCAAAAATTTTAAACGATATATCAATCGAATTGCACCTAGAATACAAGGCAACGAGGGCATTCAGTACACAAACTTGCAACACGGCTACGTTCTTGATGACAAATGCATGCAACTGTTCAGCTAATTCAAACATCTGCAAGTGTGAAGCTGCAGCTAAAGCTGAAAGCAGAGTTACTTCATCAAGAGCAGCATCTTCAGATTCGACAGCTTGAAGGAATAGTTTAATTCCTTCAAGGGGACAACTATTTTGAACAAAAGCACTGATCATTGTATTCCAAACCTCCGTGTTTCTCCCCAAACAATTGTCAAACACCTTCTTAGCAAATTCAAGCGAACCAAGCTCAGCATACATGAAAATTGCAGAGCTCACAACATACAAGTCGTTAACATATTCACTACCTAACTTAACAAGCATTCCATATACAACATTCGCCTTCTTAAAGTACCCCAAACTAGAAAAGGCAGGAAACACATTGACGAAACTAACAGGACTCGGTTTTATCCCAATTTTCATCATCATCCTAAATTGTCTCACTGCTTCATCATATCTCTCCGTTCTAACATACCAAGCAATAAGAGTATTCCAAGCAATGACAGTTCTCTTACGCATAGAATCAAACACCTTGCGTACCAAATCCCGCCCTGAATAACCAGACCCCCTGCCATCTGGGGTGGTGCTCAAACACATAGAGTACATATTCAAAAGCGAATTGTACACAATTCGACTAGGATTCACAAGGCAGCGAAGAAAGTGGCCATGAACGGCCTTGCCAACCTCTAAATTTCGGGTATCGGCGCAGGCCTTGAGAACTGAAGAGTAAGTATAGGAATCGCACCTGACGTGTGGAGAGGACGATTTCATTTTGCCGTAGAAGAAGAGGGCTTCATCGGGGAAGTTGTTGCAGACCAATCCGATGATGATGGTGTTCCAGAGGACGGTGGTTGGGCGAGGAAGAGCGTCGAAGAGTTGGCGGGCGAGATGGGGCTGCCCTTCTTGGCATAGTTTGCTGAGGCGGAAGCGAATGGTGGGGATTTGGGGCTTCGTCGTGTGGGCATGAAGGGGAAGATGAGACGGTAGTGGGAGAGGGGTCGCAGAGGAAGCCATTGATGAGCTTCTGAGCTTCTATGGCGATGGCCTTTCACTCACACTGGACAGTGAGTGGATAGACCGCTCTGCAAACTGCCTAATTGAACTCTACCGTTTATGTTTATCCAACAGTTTTCTTTTTCCCCCAATTTTTATATTTCTGCCCAATTTATGTTTTGTAAGCCTATATATAATAATGATAATCCATCTCCCTAATTCGAAGTACAAAATTATTGTTAGTTAATTTTAAAAAAAAAAAAGTTTAAAATATAGTTTAACGACAAAATAAATATCACTTGCTCCGCTCTGCTCATGTGGTCGAATTTTTTTTAATTCAATTGTCAACTCATTGTAAGCATAATATTTATTTTAATTTTTTTTATTACCAAAATGAATATACTTCAACTAATTAAGATACTAAGATATTATCTCTTAAGAAGGTTTGAATTTCTCATCTTTTATTAAACTCAAAAAATAAAAAATAATAAAATAAAAATTACTTGAGACTTTTTTTTTTTTGATATCTTAACAACTTTGTGTGATAGTTTAATTAAACTTGCCTCTTAATTTTCAAGTAATTTATTGGTTTAAATACCATTTTGATTCTCGTACTTTTAGTTTTTGTTCATTTTGATCCTTAAAGTTTTAAAATATTCACTTTGAACTTTGACTTTTATACTTTCGATTTATAATCTTTTGAACCCATCTACCTTCAAAACGGCTACTTTAATTTTTGTATTTCTAAAAAATTACCATTTTAACCCTGATAGAAATCTTAACACAATAAAAACCCAGGGTAAAGTTATGCTACATTTCAATACATTTATTCTAGATGATGATATAGCATTAAAATTGCGATAAAATGTTAGATAAAAACAAAAATTGAAGGACAGACCAAATAAACATACAAAAAAATTTATTTAATTAATAGCACAAATGAATAATTACTGCCCCTTTTTCTATTACACAATAATTCACTGAAACATCAAATGCAATGAAACGCAAGACGTATAAACAAAGAAGATTTCTCATACTCGGTCCCAACTCACAGGATCAAAATCTTAAGCATTGATATATTCACAAAAATACAGACCTATTTCCGAAAGAAAGAGAATTGTTCTTCTTCTAAGTTGCTAATTTGGTATTATTACGTAAAAGAATATTGGGATTACATATTGGCATTACAACAATGAATTGAATCAAATAACACAATCAATCTTCTCTTCCCCTCACATTAAGAGCATCAAACAGCTGAAAGACTTGCCCATTTTCCAAGTTCATAAGGATCTGCATAGTAATACGGTTTAATTCTATTGGCCAAAGACAACCCTGCTGCTAAAATCCTAAATCCAGAATCATCTTGTTCCGCTGGGTCGTCGGAGTACCCTGCAACGTCTCCAAGAAGTTTAAATATAATCCTCCTCGTTTGTACAAGTCTTGGAAAATCGAAGTAAAATCCTGTTCCAGCCTTCGCTTCGGGTAGTCGGTACTCAGCAATAGTTACTACACTATTGTTGGACTCCTGTACAAAGTCATGCTAACCATTTTCAATGAAATGAAACCTCCATGATTGCAATCAAACTGAAATGACTTTATAATCACCATGATTAGAACTACCAGCAATTGCCCAGGTTTAATCATTTGAGAGATTCTAGAAGAGCTAAATATACTCAACATCAGAATGAAAACTATCATTCGTGATAACTTAGAAGACACAAACCAAGCTTTGAAATGAGAAAATAGAATCCTCCTATGCATAATTGCTGTCCATGAAAAAACGGCTGATTGTATTTTGGCTACATTTGTTTCCAAGTTAAAGCTGTATGATAAAAAAAGACCATTAATTACCTGAACAGTGCAAACTTGTAGATACAATACAGCAGGATAGATGTGTCTATCTTCTAAAAATGTGACTGAAGCATCCCAGATTTGTACATCTGAAGATGGTGAATGTGTAACTCGAGGTTTTATTGCACCGAAAGCCTCCAGACGAAAGCCAGCAATCATTGGGGAACCGAGAGAGAGATACTGTTCCAAGACAAGATCAGTGTCCATAACCCTTTCGGCTTCAATTGGAATCTAAAGACAACAAAAGACAGTTAACAGGAAGTTAGCATTATAGAAATTTTGACAGATGCCCCAGAAAATTAGACATTATAGACCACAGCAGGATTTCTACCTTGAATCTCTTTACTTGAGGGGCTCTCTCCAACAAGGCTCTGTAAGTCATTTGATCAGAGCCTGATGATGATTCAAGGCCCGTCTCTTTTCTCACTGGGATTCCAACTACAATAATTCTTTTAGCATGAAGACAAGGAATACCTTCACTTGATCCTCCAAAGGAGGCACGTCGATTAATTTGTGGATGAACTGGTGCAAAAGGATTGTCATCTAGAGACAGGAGGTTGAAATCTTTCTCACAACTAACAGAACTCGAACCAGGGCGTTGAAGGCGTAGCGTCATCCAAATGATGCGGCATCTAACAGGATTTTTAAAGGTAAATCGGACATGCCTAGGTGTTGTATCCTTGCTATATTCTTTTTCTGGCCCATAAAAATCAAATGAAGATGGCATCAATGATTGGACATCCCACTTCCCCACATACGACCTTTCTTCCTTGTGAATTAAATTACTTGCCCAAATTTGCACCTGCAATGAGAGAAGAGTACATGTCATTTCTGACGAGTTCAATCCCTGCCAAGATTTCAAAGTATAATATATTCCAAATTCATGGTTCAAATCCGTCCCCATAAAAAAAAAAAATAAATGAATTGTCACCTTAATATGATAAAAGATAGAAACCAAAATTTTCATCTCATTTTTTCAAATTAGCAAACTTGTAATGATGTGTGTGAGAAAAATCTAACCGACGAAACTATTTGTATACTTGGATTTTGCATTTCTCAAACATTTCATCAAACGCTGAGGATATACTGCCATGTTGGTAACAGAAATATAAACAATTACATTTTAGGCACTATCAGTGGCATAGTACCTATAATCACACAAGCGAGTGCATAAATTCACACTTTCATAATAGAGACGCATCCTGGTTCTAAACAGTTGTAACAGAAACATAACACCAGATGCCAAATTACATTAAAGCGCAGAGCGATTTCTAGTAAAACAAGTAGACCCGTCAAAAAAAAAAAATTAACGCATTGCAAAGGTTATATTTGTCATGAAATAATAATTAATATTATCAGTTGAATTATTCTTTGTCCTGGATCACCATCCATGATGATCCTGCAGTGACATCCCTGTTAGATCCTTGGAAGATGCACCTCTGGAATACTTTCACTCTCATGTAAATGGCTAAATAGGCTCCAATAGTAAACCCATTGACCACTAACACAATAACAAAGAAGAAGGATAATAACCAAGCAAATGTCAGTACTTACAATGGGAGTGTCTCCTGCAGAATACCCACAAGGGCTCACAAGCAAGATGACTCCACTAACATCAGAGATGGAACCAAGAATAATAACAAATTCAGCAGAGGTAGCATTTGGAGGAGCTTTCCAATATGAACAAAATGAACCAGAATCTAAGGGAGCAAGCAATGACAAGGCTGGTGCTGAATCTGCTGCTGTTTCAACCTACAATTACATAAGACATTGCAACTTATCAACCAAATTGGAGATTTTTGCAATCAGATGATGACATAATTCTTTTAATAATATCAGACAATTTCGAAGAAATTAAAACTAAGAGTATCTTGAAGTATCTTTTCTAGAAAAAAAAAATCACATTCCCCTTCATGTCTTCCAGAATGTAAGGTAGTGGCAAAATGAAACCAAGAACAATAACGAATTCAGCAGCAAGTGTACAAACTTTGTTATGAACGCAAGGCTAAGCTACCAAGCTTTCTGGAACAATATCAATGGCAATGAAATCCAAAAATTGTAAGCAATTTATGCTTGAAATCCAATACGTTCGATGGAAGTCATTTCATTCCAAATATTTTCAGCAATCTTCATTTTGAGATTTGGGAGGCTAAGAAGTCTAGCAGAAAGATCTTTGGGTAACTTTTCTCAAAAAAAGAAAAAAAAAAAGATCTTTGGGTGAGTTGTCACCAACCAAGACATCCTCCCAAAGTTTGATTCTCTTTCCATTGCCAAGTTTAAAAGCAAAAATCATGTCCACCAAGCTTTTGTAAGAGGCCATCGCTTTGCAATGGGTTCTAGCATTATACCTTTTGGATCAGTGAATTCTTTCTTGGCATTTTTCTTTTCTAATTATGAGCACTTTTCCAAGTTTAAGCTTGGTTCTGGTATTCGAATTCTTTTTTAGCATCATATTTGGTTAGGTGAAAGTACTCTCAAAATCAGTTTTCCTAAAGTATTTCACGTGTCTTCCCATTCTGATGGAACAATAGATGATTTTTGGGATTCTTCTACTTTGTCATGGAAAATTCAAACAAGGAAGCTGCTTAAAGATGATAAGCTGCAGACTATTGTGAGTGTTAGAGTTTTTTTAATTTATCTTAGAAAATAAAAATATAAAACATAACCTCATAATTATATTCTTAGATTAGAAATATTGGAGATAAAAAAATGTGCAACGCACATGATAAAAATTAATGTGTGTGTGTGTGTAAGAATTAAAACATTACCGAGTGCAAAAGGCTGGCATATGGAAATTCAGCAACTGACTCTTCTCCATTAATCAATTTTCTTAGAACCTTATTTACTCGTTGGCCAGCAAAATGCAGATTCTTTCCAGAGAGCCAATCCCCTACTGATGATCCAATCACCTGGTTCAAAGCTCTATATGCAGCATCGTCCGCACGGGCATTCCTTCGTGAGCTAATCAATCCCCTTACATAGTCCAAGATCAATGCGTCAAGCACAACATTGTTGCAGCATTTCTTACAGACAACACCATGTGAACCGTTCGAGGAGGCATCAATGTGGCTCCCACCGTGTGAACCACTGTAGCTTGAGGCTTCCCTTGAGCTATAGCTTGTCAAAAGTTGAGCCCCTCTCCCCGCACAGCATACTTTACAAACCTTTCTTCGGCATTGTAAACATAACAAGACAGGCTTGGGAGCTCCAGCTGAGGACACTTTAGAGGGAATTTGAACTAGTGTTTTAGTTTCTGCACGCACCTCACAGGTTCCACCAGAACAGATCTCTCCAATTTCTCTGATGTTCCAGAAGTCCACAAGATCATCAACTTTATCAAGACCTATAGCAGCAGTAATTTTGTCTTCCAGATAAGTATGCCCAACTAATGCAAGATGATTTGCCAGTCTGCATAACCTTCCAACATAAATCTCATCAAGCAACAGATTCGGATTTATAGTAGCAGGATCAGTTCCAGTTGATAATAATGCTCTATCCCTCTCGGCAGCTGAAAGATTTAGCCGGAGGCGCTCAATTTCAAGTTTCATGGCTTCTTGAAAGCTGAGCTTCTTTTCCTGCATGGTTGCATAATATTATGTGTCTAAATATGTTACATCAAGATCCGATTCAGAATACTTAATGATTAAATCATCTTCATTTTTCTATTAGAAAAGAACTCCAGATCTTAAATCCATCTTTTACACACATACCACTCAAATAATGTCATGCCCAACCATTCCATTTTTGGTAGATTGTGTTCATAAGATGACCTTGAAACTACGTGGAACTATGAAACTTGTACGAGAACAGAAACTTCAAAGCAAGCTACATTTTTTTTCTTACTTAAAAGCTATTGCCACTAATTTGCTAATTCTTCCCGACTTCAAAAACCACCAATTCAATAATCAGCGTGCAAAAAGAGTTTTAATTTGACAGTTTGGAAAGCTAATAAAAATAATGTCAGGTTATCTGATAGGATCAGGACCTAACTAAAGGAAAGTGATCATTGCGGATGTGCTGACTCCTTGTACAAGATTAATAAAAAGCTTCCAAGAAAGCTCCTGTCTGCTGATTCCTTGCTCAAAATTTCATCCTAATTTCTTCCCCACTATCCATTCCCTCTTGTAGTCAACTCAAAATCCTCTCCAAACAAATTGACTGTCTTAGCAAGATTGCCTGGATTTTCCTTTTTAGCCCTCCTATAGTATGTATGCATTATGGGAGGCCGGTTATCCTGCTCCATATCTGCTTCCTATTATCTACTTTAAGGTTACTCAGTTCCAAAGTTAAGCTATTGTTACTTAATCTGTAGGTTAGCCCATGATCGGTAAGTGAGACAAGGCTGCTATCTCTGATGCAACTTAAAAATATTATATACATACATACATATATATTGCATCATTCTCATTCAGAATGATAACATGATAACCAAACAAAACATAAAAGTAGAAATTAACATACCATGTGAGGTCCTGCAAGGGATTTGAGACAATTTATGTACAGTTGGGAACAACTATCGGTAACCTTTGGATCTTCTGGTGAAGAAACTTTGTGGTCAGCTTCAGCACTATGATGTTCAACATGCTGGTCCAAAAAATCAAGTACGTCACCCCCCTGATGTACAACAGTTCCACTGTCTGCTTGAGAAATTGTATCTGAAAATGCAACTTCTCCAGTCAAAAGGTCAACCAATGGGTCCACGGAAGCACTTGTTTTCACTGGCTTTGGAAGGTCTTCATTTAATGAAGGGGCAAAAAATGGATTGGTTCCTGAACCAGATGAAAAATGGTTGATTTCCTTATGGAACTTCTTAGTGAGATGGGCTAATCTTGCACCAGGTCCTTCGTCATAAAACACTCCCCTCCAAGGAAGAGAAACTCCAAGGATCTCTATCTATAATATATGTCAACAAAGTAAAAGTAAGAATGAATCTCAACCTAATAGTAATATATGACAAGGAAATAACAAAACTAAAAAAAATGATGCTAGAGAGAGAGAGAATCATTAAAGATGTAAATTAGCATACCTAACCAATTACAAACACAAATAAAGAAAATCAACTTCCTCAAAATATGTCAACATAACATTATGCTGGTGAAAAAAAAAACTTTGATCTTAAAAAGAGACAATGTGTTGTTTCAAAAAAGAGAGAGAGAGAGAGAGAGAGAGAGACAAGGTGTAGAGAAAACGTGACAAGGAAAAAAAATATATAGATATATAACAAACCAAATGAAATGATGAATTTAAATTTTGACATCTATGCTTCTATCCAAAAGAAAAGGAGAGGGGGGTATTAACATCTACTGCCAGAATGTAGAAAACTACATGTCAAATATTACAGGTCAAAATGATTTTTTAACTCAGTCAAATATCACTTCTCACCTCGCCAAGAGTCATTAAACTTTTCCCAGAAACAGCAGGATAAAATGTAACAGCAACAACCCGGGTAAGGAAGTCCAGTTCACCCTCTAGTTCTTCAAAATCATATAACAATGGAAGTGTTGATGCCTCATGGGAGTGGAGGCGAGCACCAGCCCCTGTGATAGCCATATCCTCAGCACTAATTGGCCCTGGTAAGGTTATAAGAAGGTTTGTCCCATTTTCACACTGAGGTATGCAAGCACCCTGCCAAGAGCCAACAAAGTTACTTATGAACAGAACAACAATAACCACACCTTCATATTAACCATTTGCATGCATACAAACTATCCGTGCATGCAGGAACACGTAGATGGCAGAACATGCAGTCACTTCCTGTATCTTTATTTTGTGTGAAATTGGGTAACTCCGGATACAAGTATAAATAAGTGGTGTAGATAACTTGTTGTGTATTTAAATTAATTAATTTTAAAAAAATAAAAAAGCTAGAAGCAATATGCAGAGAATATATTGCGACATGGTTCCATTTATCAGTGTAATAATGAGTAGCTGATCATGTGAAAGCTCTATTTAGTGTTTCATGTAACTGCATCAACAAGTAATATGTGGTCAAAGAGGAAAACACCCGGATGATCCAATGTGAAAAACAACTGTTGAGGATATGTAACAGCTTGGAATCAATGTATTTTTTCCGAAGAACATGTCACGTGAATAAGCAGCCGCACTAACAAAAGAGCTCTGCCTTCTACATTTCTAGACATTGAGCAAAAGAAGCCCTATGAATGAAGCAAGAAGGGGAAATTTTAGGAAAGAATGCAAACCTCAAGAATTAGTTTTAGCCCATCTAGATTACGGCCAGTCCTTACATCAACGGTGGCTGGATAAGTTGAGTCATCTGCACCATGAGATACAGTAAGAAGAAGCTGACAGACATGGCAAGGCTCAGTTAGGTAAATGAACAGTTCAACAACATCTGCACCCTGCGGGAATACCTATAAGAGAAAGGACAAAATTAACACAGGAAACGGAAGCAAGCAAGACCAATCAACTTATAAAGTTTCTAAAGCAGCATGGTTAATAATAAATTTGACCATTTATCATGTTTCCAAAGAACATTTGAATCAGAATGAAGAAAGGAATTTCCAGTACCCAGATCTCGCCTTTCTTCTTAAAACTCAGAAGACCAGATCCACCATTAGAACTTGGAAACATGTTGGTAACAGGTTTAAGTAAAAAACTGGATGCTCGCGAGAGTACCTACACCAATCGATATTGTCACTGAACACAATGAAACAGAAAAGTGGATAACAATTAACACGTGATAACCATATGTGCAGTACAAAGGCAACCGAAGGAAATAATGCAATACTTCAGCCTGGATATGGAAAATCAAACAGGAAAAGAAGTTCACGTGGTAGACTAGGAAGAGCTACTAGACAAAACTCCTCTTTAAAGATATAGTCCCAAGGCGAGGCTTCTATTTTTGTAAAGCCAATGACATTTGGATAACCAGTGCCGTCATCATCACTAAACATGCGGTGAAAATCATCTCATTCTTCTACGTCCCTTAGCCTCAACTTTTAGCAGCGATAGTAATGTATGACTTTTCTATGTTCAACAGGTTCAAAACCAGTACACTGTTTGAGCCTACAAAAACTGGCATCCAAGAATTTGTTGATATTTAATCCACGATGGAGCTCCCACACAACTTGAACTCATGGTGTCTCCATTGAACCCAAATGCCCCTTAATTCTTCAACATCATGTCGGTAAGACATAATATGTAGACTATACTGCCTGGTTACCAACTGCCTCTAAGATACCTATCCATTTATATTAAAATAACCATCTGTAAAGAGTTTTGTTCGGTTTACACTATAATGTTAATAAATAAAATTCTACAGGATATTAATTATTTCATCTCACCTTTTCACAAAAAATGGAATCGATCATAACAAATACCCTAGCAAATAAAATAATGTTCTATTAATAGGAAAATAATAATGTAATAATACTGCATTCAGCAATACAAAATTCATGGAAGGCACAATAAGACCATGCCACTTCCATACCCTCCACCCCCAAATAAGAAAAATAGATAAATAAATAACAAATATGAATCCTAAATCTCCAATTGCTAGGTATTAAAGACCAAATTGTACAGAAAATTCTCGAAAACATACATTAAGAGGCTGAATAGGTATTGATGGAAGATGTTTAAAAAGCCTCATTCCAAGAAACATCTCCAACTGCTTTTGCCGAGAGCTGTCAACAACTGCATTTTTATATCTTCTCTGCAGTGTAATCTTCATATTTTGTGCTGCAGAAAATTGTTTAAACTTTCCCGCTTCTTCATTGAATATGTTAAGGATTTGGCTATGCATAGCTTTGGAACCAGTATAAAGGGTGGCATGAATATCCCCAGCAAGCAAAAACAGATCGGCTAGCTGAGAAATTGGAAATAAAATTGTTGATCTCTTGAATTCTTCAAATGTCATATCAAATCTTTTCCAAGGTTTATCTGGACAAGGATGAGTCCATGTTGTGGTCCTAGTATTATGATCAATATAATATGTTTTCCCTGTCACAGCATCAGTCTTTTTTTCCCAACCGGGTGGCAGTGGAGCTATATATCCACTTTGTGTATCCATTGAACGATAACCCATTGCCCAGTCATTATCTAAAGATATCCCTAGCCGCCTGCATTGCTCCATGAAGACTTGGAGAGCACCAAAATAACTAGCAGCATTGGTTCTATCCAAAGAATCGGCACAGTTAAATCGTATCACTCCGTTTTGACGCGTTCTTATGCAGAAATCACCTTCAAAGTCATCATTATGTATGATTTCACCCCTATAATCCTTGGTCTGTAATCGGGAAGGTAAATAATCCCCTTCAGAAACACTTATTGTTACAGTAGGTCCCTTTAGAAGCTTCCACAGCCCTTCAATTGTTTGTTGTTCACCCTTTAACCTTGTACTTGCATGCCAATCATAATTTATTAAATGGATTCGAGTATTTGGAAGTTTACCAGTTGATTTAACATAATTCAGAGATTCCTCAAAGTGCTGAACTAAAATAGATTCTGATTTTCCTTCTCCATTCCTAAGCAAATTTACGCAAACTATAGGAACCAAAGATTTTTTGTTCTGATTTCCTCCACCAACAACATCTATATTTCCAGCATCATACCTCTTATTCAACCTTTGATAGTACTGAGCGCTTCCTTTATAAGGATCAGATTCAGATACATATATTTCTGCTTCTGCAGCAGTGATCTTCAGCTCTGCACCCCACCAAATTGGAATGGTGCCCCTTCGCCAAATGTACGTGTTAAAAGGAGTGCTCTGACCAGCCCTTTTAGGTATCCATACCAGTTGTTCACACTCAACCTCGTTTCCTGTCAAAATTGGAGTATTTGTAACTTGGTCCTTCAAAATATTTCTTCAAAAAGAGAAAATTGATTGACAGACAATATAAATGAATTACAACAATGCGAAATAAATTCTTTTCCAGTAATGATCAAACGTCAAATTACCTGTGCTGTAGCAGGAATTTATGCCCCTGGCCAAATATCGAGTTCCAGGGTGTAGCCTGCTTCGACGAGCAATAAGTGACACAATCCCTTCCATCTGACCAGAACTCCCAAAACTTCGACACTCTGCAAACCCCTACACAATATTACCCATTAAGACAACACTCCAAATACTTCCTCAATTTATGAAGATGACACAATTAAGTTCGAAGCAAAACCTGGAGAAGCGTAACGCAATGGTGTGGCAACCCAATGTTCTTGAAGGCCATCGAGAACCACTTGTTCCAAACGAACTCCTCATCGGGCTTGTTAATCGGCATTCGGCTCGGGAACGGTCTCGTTACGTCCCTCGATTCACAAAAGTAGTGTTTCCCATCAATATCAAGCTCAACTAATTCTTGCACGTTCTTGAGCTCCCCCTTCCCCTGAACCTGCGGAGTCTGCAGCGGAATCTTGATGCACTGGCTCTCCAGAACCGTGAAAATGCATCCTCCGCCGGGCAAATTGGGAACGCTGGCGGAAAGCTTAGTGGCGACAAAAAGTAAACCAGTCCCGCCCAAGGCCGCGTATCCCAAGATGGCTCTGGCTTGGACGGAGGACTTGCAGAGCCATCGCGATCCATTGGTGATGAAGTCGATGGCCTGGGACTCGGACTTGAAGAGGTCAAGGCCGGGCTTGCCATGGTAGCGGAGAGCGCCGGTGGTGGGATCGATGTAGATCAGCTGAGTGTCGTTCCTCGAAGACAAGCTCGCAACTACGTAGACTTCGCCGGATTCGAGTGTGAGAACGGCTATGGATGTGTCCCTCGGACCGCTGCCGCCGGCTGCGGGTGAAAAGGCCATCGGCGCCGATGAATCTCGCCGGTCCGATGCGAAGAATTCTGCTGAGAATTAGATTCAGTTGGAGTTGGCCAGATCGGGCACATATGAATGAAAAAACTCAGTCAGAACTCACACAGATGGATTTTCCATTTCTTTCTTTCTGTATTTCTTTCTTCTTCTCTTTCTTTCTTTTATTTTTTTTTTCTTTTTGCTTTGTTTGACAATAAATTAAATATTATATATACTCTAAGAAAAATATTGTTCATGGACTTTTGTTTTTTATGTTAAAAATTATTTTTTCCTAATAATTTTTTAGTAGAACACGGATCGAACTCCTAACTTATTTGTTGGAAAATATACTGAGTTTACTTTGGTCCTAACAGTTAAATGTACTTTTAATTTTAATTTTTGTAGTATATAAAATTTCAAAAATTTTATTTTGTTTCATGCTTTAAAATCAATTTGATCATTATTTATAATATTTTAACACAAATTATGTATACAACGAATATCATTTACTATAAAATTATGACTACAACCTAAAAATAAGTTGGTATTTTCTATTTGGACTAAGCATGTATGTTGACCATAATAAGGTTCGAAATTGAGTATAAAATAGGTGGATTTTAATATGATTTATAATTTTTTTTTAAGATAATATAGTTTAGAAATGAGGCATAAAGTTTAACTAAATTATAAGTATTAAATTGAAAGCTGTACTTATATATATCAAATTGAAAACTTTAAAGATGATAAAATCCAATTGAAATTGAAATTCTCTCTAAATTCAAACACAAAATACATAATTTAACCCATATTTATTCATTTGAATCTATTTATGTTACGAAATAAATAAAGTAATATGGACATGGACACATTGAATGTTCCACCAATGTTCTCAAAAAAATAATAAATATTTAATTCACCTAAGAAATCCACTTTTTAACATGTATGTATAATGGGTCAAGTTTAACATTAAATTTTTTTTTATAAGAATAATACGTAGCTCCTTCCTTAATCTTAGATCGCTACTGTATTTTAAAATATATATTTGTTAAAATAAATGCAAAGGGGAGAGAAAAAAGTAATCTTCAAAAAAAATTAGCTATCAGGGTCCCAACTTCAAATTTCAAGGTTTTAATTATTGAAATTTAAATACTATTTTTATCGGTGTACTTTTAGTTTAATTTTTATTTTGATTTATATATAATTTTTGTTCATTTAGTAGGTGTGGTCCGTTTTAATCCCTATATTTTTAATAAAATACTAATTTAGTATTTATTTATAATTTTAACATAAATTTATATAATATATATATATATATATATGTTTGTATGTATGTATCTATATATATATAATGAAAACCTATGAATAAAGTGAAAGTTCATTTTGGTTATCCCAAAACGTACGAGTTTAAAGATCTATTTAGGTGCGTTTGAAAGAGCTGCTTCCTCTACTGATATAATAGGTGAATTACAAAATTTCCTGAAATTTTTAAGAAAAGAAATTGGGAACTATCAAAATACTGGCATATTGGAACCAACAACGTTATATGTACCATAATACTATAAAAAATATGAATACGAGTTAGACTACGAGATGCATACACCCGCAAATGGTACTTTAAAGGTGTTTTTACTTCGAAAGTCACGAGCCCCATTTATGAAAGCCTAAGTCTAGTACTCGGGAGCGTAAGCATAAGCAAGTTTGGTGGTTTCAACTTCGGTGGAAATTTAAGAATATAGTGGACCATGGATAGGTAGGTAGAGGAGGCCCAGCAATTGAAATGGGCTGGAATTAAACTTGCAGGCCCATTTCACCACAAGGTGGAGATGGTGAAGGATTTGAATCTGTCTGCGGATCTGGAGTTGGGGAAGCCCTGCTTCGTGACCAAGCAGCTCGCGCCGGTGCTCGGCGACAGCGTCGTCCCCTCCAATCCAACGGCGCCGTTTCGGCGCAGCAGCGCACATCGCGCCGGAGTTTTTCATGGACCGGGTCCGGGCCATGGCGGACGCGGCGGAGCCGCTGCTCGAGAGGTGAGAGGGGAGGATCCGTGGCGGCGGCGGCGATTGACGTCGACGAGGATCTGAGGGGCTTATCGGTGGACGTGATTTCTAGGGCTTGCTTTGGGAGCTTCTACGCGAAGGGGTAGGAGATATTCTCCAAGCTTAGAGATCTCCAAAAGTTGGTCAGCGAAGGAAATTTCTCCTCTGGTCACATTTCCTTGAGGTTCCTTTCTCTCTTCAAAATTTTAATACAAAACTTAGTTTAATTAAAAGTTTTAATACCCTTATCCTTTACCTAAACGGTTCAAAAATACCTTATGAGCAACTTTATGGATATAATCGGGACAGTAATCCCTCTTTGAGTAGAAGGCAAGCAAACATAAAAAAAGAAGGTACCCAAATCTCCATTTCTTCATCTTTCTCCTCTGCCAAGCAAGAATCTATTCTGATTATGTTAGAATTACGAACCAGCAAAGGGTTACACTTTCATATCATCTGCATATCATCTTACTCACTGTCACTCCACTGTAGAACAAGTGATAAACGAATCATCTTTATTCTTTCATGGGCAATTATACTTTCCGCCCAATTGTCCACTTTTGCCCACCAAGTGTTTGTATAAATGCTGCTTAGAGCAGAAAACACTTGGAGTCTGGTTTTGACGTGATTATAATTTCTTAGCAATGGAGAGACTGTGTATTGCCATAATTTATATCTCTATTGCACTTGCATCCACTACCCTGGCTATTCCAAGTGGTAAATTATGTTTTTGTCATTTCCAAATTGTGTCTACTTTAGTG